TTAATCCCCCCCGGCAGACCCATCGTATCGGACTGTGGGAGTGAGTCTAATAGATCAGCCGAGTATATTGACTCTTTTATCAACCCTCTGGCGAAGATTCACCCCAGTTTTATCAAGGACACTTACGATTTTATTTCCAAAATTCACCAATTTCACACTTCCCCCCACTGTATTTTATTCACTATCGATGTTGAAAGCCTTTATACTAATATTGAAATCGATGAAGGTATTTTAGCTGTCAAAAACATTTTTAACAGGTACCCGGATCCCAACAGGCCGGATGCAGACCTTCTCCAGATCCTTTCCATCAACATCCGCAAGAACGATTTCACTTTCAACAACCAAACATACCTGCAGGTCAAGGGGACGGCCATGGGGAAGAAGTTTGCACCAGCATATGCCGACATCTTCATGGCCAAGTGGGATGGGGAGGCCCTCCAGAAATGCTCCAAAAAGCCCTCCCATTACCTCAGATATCTGGATGATATCTGGGGTATTTGGGAGGGGGAAATGTGGGAGTTTGATGTATTTTTTTAACATTCTCAACACCCATAACCCCTCCATTAAACTTCAAAAGACCACCAGTGTCCAATCGGTTCACTTTTTAGACACCACCTTTTTTAAGGGCCCCGATTTTAACAGCATTAACCGATTGGACACAAAGGTGTATTTTAAATACACGGATACTCACGCCCTTTTAGATATATCTAGCTTCCACCCGAGACACACTTTTGGAGGCCTTTTAAAATCACCGCTTTTACGCTTTTATCGAATCTGCACTTGGGTGGAAGATTTTAAAGAAGCGACCAACACTCGTTTTACGGCACTCAAGGGGCGGGGTTACACCCGCTCCTTCTTACCAGCGTGTTTTAAAACCTTAACAGTCAAGGAACGCCCACCATCCATCCACCCCTTCGTCTGCACCTATTCCAACCGTTGACCTCACCCATTCCATCAAAAATAACTTTCAAACCCGGCTGAGTGGAGAAGAGACTTAGAGTAACATCAATATCATCACCGCCTTCAGGAAGAATAAAAACCTCAAAGATCACCTAGTCAGAGCGACCCTCCCTCAAAAATACCCACAAAAACAGGATCTGGACCACAGTTATTTCAAACAGCTGAGGTGGATCAGGAATGACCAGAGAGGGGAAATACATCAAACTCCCACATATGGCAACATTGACTCTTAATCTAATTTATGTCATCATCTGCCGCAGGTGCAATATGAAATATGTGGGAGAGACAGGCCGGACAGTCCGGGCCAGGTTTTACTCACATAAACAGAACATTGTGGAAGAAAAAATAAACGCATTTTTTATTACACGGGTGGGAGGCCGTCAGGGTCTCCATTTTACAGGGGAACCCCCGTTGGACCGCAAGGGAAAGGAAATACAGAGAGAAACTCTGGATAAAAAAACTGGACACTACCTTTCCTCACTGA